TTCACAAGATTGAAAAGAGTCGGGAGTCGGACACTGCCGAAACAACCTGGCATGCATGCACGCGTAGTTTTATGAACGCTCTCCATGAAGATGGCCCAGAGTTTCCTGTCTTGGGCTCGGATACATAGCTTTGCTCCATCTTTCCTCATTTGTTCCTCCCTCCTTCCAGGGCATCTTGGACAGAGCCCACCTCTCTGACCATTCTAGATGCTTCTCTCAGCAGCCTTGCCTTCCCTGAGCAGGTAGCCTTCAGGGAGCCTGGGCTGACCTCAGCGCCTCTGCTGCTCTGGTCCCTGCTGTAGCTGGAATTCTGGGTTGGCTATGAAAGCTGGAGCTGGCTGTTTTCCCAACCTGATAGCTTTTGAATACCCTGGGAAGTGCTACAAGGTGACAAAGACCAATGGGCTTCCCTTAGGGGGCGCAGAGCCTAGTGGGGAGTTAACCAAGTGTGACCCAAAGGAAGGTGGGGTGGGGCCTACTTAGGGGGCTTTCAGTAGCTGACTTTCTCACCTAGACACCTTTCTCCTTCACGGACCCACCATAGTCAGCAGGAGGAAAAGTTGACCGTTGTCTTTTCCATGAAGTATGTTTGTCCCATCTGAACCCACCAAGCCTATTTCTGTCATAGTACTACCTTCTGCCCATTGTGGGTCACCAGGGCCCCCTTGCCGCTCTCAGGCCCCCAGGAGGAGCCCAGAAGTTCCTCTCAAGGCTGCCCTATTCCGCTCTCACTTTTCTGCTTTCTCACCGCTCACTGTGCCCTCACCTCCCATGGCCTCCTTTCAGTGCACCCCCTTCTGGACCACACCTCTTGAGGCCAGCCCGCACATCACGTCCCGTCCCCATCGGTCTGTTGGTCCTGAGGCCTCGGCTCCTCAGGGTGGTCAGGACCGTCCCCCGCCGGCTTCCTGGACACGATTTCTCTCGCCTGCCACCTTCACAGGACCTCTGCTCTCCAGCCTGGCTTCTGGTCTGGCCAGAGCCCACCCCTCGTGGAACAAGGTTTGTAGAGACAGACAGTTCCTTTACTTTGATATGACTTTTAGCTCAAACGAGAGGGGCTAGACTGAGAGACCAGGATGAAGAGATGCTGTGGGGGCCAAACCTCTATCTCACATTTTTGCTCCAAAGCTTACAGGGAATTTACAGCAGACCTAGGATCTGAGTCATTCCTGTTAAACAGAACACATTCATTGTAGAACAGTATAGGAGAGGTGTAGAGATGCTTAGAAAAGATGCTAGAAGAATCTATACCACACTGATAAGAGAAGTGCTCTGTGCTTTCTTTTATTGAGTGTTTTATAACAAGAAAGCACATAGGAGTCTGTTTTGTATATAAAATTTTTTAATGGAAAAGTAAAAAGCCCAGCCTTCTAGTGCTTTTACTAACATCTCTGGCAATCGTATCTCGGCCCTCAGTGGCCATCAACACTGCTATAGGACCCGAAGGAAGGATTGTTCTCTGGCTCTGTCAGTGCGGGGTTGGCTGAAAACTATCCAGCGTGCCTCTTAGGCTGTACGACGCGGCGGGTAAGGAGGCCTCTGGGAACCTCTTTAAGACACATCGTGAGCTTGGCCTCCTGGGAAATGTGAGCAAATAAAGCAGATGGGGACTCAATTAACTTGCCAGTGAAGCAAATCAAACATTACCACCGCGGGAATTGGATTAATGTTACTGTTTTATTTTTATTGCTGAGGCTAATGTGATGTGAATCGATTTTGTGAGTGTGGACTTTACTTAGCACGTACTATACACATCACCATGGCAGGAATGTGGAAACACTATTTTCTGGATTTTCATCGGAGCGTGGTAGATTCCTAGTTTCAGAACCTATATACCTAATGAGTACAAATGTCCCTAATTACTAGTATCTGACTCTCTTTTACTAAAAAAATTTTTTTGGCTGCACTACGTGTCATACGGAACTTCCCTGACCAGGGGTTGAAGCCACACCCCTTATTGTGGAAGCCTGGATTCTTAACCACCCGACCACCGACCACCGACCACCGGGGATGTCCTGGCTCTGTTTTAATGACTTGATTTCCATATCCTCTCAAATTTTCTGCATATAAAACAGTACATTCACTTGTCCTATTGCCCAATTAGTTGTTTCTGTCATTTTAACAGATAAAAGGGTTTCTGGTGTTCTCTGAAAGAGGATTGCAAACATCTCTGTACCTTGTTTGTGTTTCTTGTCAAGTTCACTGGCAGGTGTCGGTTTTCCTCGGGCTCCCATAGTCCTCTTTTCTAACCCTTTGTGCTTCCAGAGATCCCTTAGAACCACCTCACGACTTTGGCATTGGATGCAGAAATAACACTTCCCCGTTAAGAACCCAACCTTGTTATTATGGAACCAATATGGTTACTATGTTTATGGAAAGCACCTTCTGACCTGAGGAGTATTCAGCTGCTTGTGCCAGTGGGCTGTGTTATGCTGGAGTTCTCCTGGTCTGCAAACACCTCCTTTGACTGACAGAATTACCTCAACTCCACCGTGAAACGTGTCTGACCACTGGAGAGGATGAAACCTGCTGAAGAGAAATGAGTCCCTCAGTCGGTGATCCTTGTGAGTATTTTCCGTTTTTCTTGAAAGAAAAAAAAAATCTTTCTTTATATAGCTGAGGAAACCTAACAAAATATTTTGTTATTATCCAGAACTTACTCATGGCCCCCAAGTCATCTAAAGAAGACCTGTACTTTGGCTGGAAGTATAATATTTAGGAACAAGCTCGTCAGAGAGGAAATTGTCCTGTTGCCCGAGTTGGGCTTTAGCTGGCCTCGTCTCACGTCCCACTTCCGGGTCTTCGCTCTCAGCGCTGGCGCTGACTGGTGCTGGGTGCCTGGAGCTCCTTGGGAGATGACTGTCTCCTTGGGGAATATCAGTGCTTAAAATCCCCGGTGACCCTGCCTCCCGCCTTCTGCACTGACTCTCCCGCAGGGAGGACCCTCTTCCCTGAGAACCTGACTCTAAGTCTGCTGTTCTGTGGAAAACCAGTCTTTCAAGACAAGGCATATGGGTCAATAATGACTTTCCCTCAGAGCTATTTTTGTTTTATTAGGAGACTCCTGGTAAAAGGACCAGTACCTTCATCTAAGTAAATAAATCTCCAGTGTCAGGAATTTGAGATATGTGGTATGACAAGTTGGGTGGATGTTTTTGCCTGGGAGAGGGGTTCCCCCCTCCCTACATGTAGGAACTGATCATTTCCCAAGCCATTCTAGTTAAGTCACTTCATGTCCCTTTCCTCATCTATGGACAGATATAAATGATGGTTTTATAACAGCTTCCTGCTTTACCATTTTCTGATTCCACGAAATGAGTGATTTCTTGGCACCAATGAGACAGAAGTCACCTACTTAATTTTCCTGAACACAAACAGCTCAGCAGCTACTAAAATTTGCATCCAGTGTTTGTATACCTGAGTTCATCGCAGCATTATTCCCAACAGCCAAAAGGTGGAAGCGATCCAAGTGTCCGTCAATGGATAAATGGATAAACAGTGCTACACAAATGCAGTAGAATGCCTTAAAAAGGAAGGAAATTCTCACACCTGCTACCACATGGATGACCCTTGAGGACATTATGCTAAGTAAATAAGCCAATCACAAAAGGACAAATACTCTGCTCTATTTACATGAGGTTTCTAAATCAGTGAGATTCGTAGACAAGCCTGGGAGTGGGAGGAAGGGAGAGTTTAATGGTGAAGATGAAAAGGCCTGTAGGTGGATGGCAGTGAGGACTGCCCAACAGTATGAATGTACTTAATGCCACTGGACTGTGCCCTTAAAAATGGTTAAGAAGGTAAATTTCATGTTGTCCGTATTTTGCCGCAATGAAACATTTGCACTGACTGTATAGTGGGCTTCCCCGGTGGGTCAGGTGATGAGAATCTGCCAGCAATGTGGGAGACCCGGGTTCGAGCCCCGGGTGGGGAAGATCCCCTGGAGAAGGGAATGCCTGCCCACTCCAGTATTCCTGCTTGGAGAACTCCATAGACAGAGGAACCTGGGGGGCTGCGATCCACAGGGTCACAAAAGAGTCAGACCCGACTAAGGGACTAACATTAGAGTGAGTACTCAATACCTGATTCTTGGTCAATACGTGTACGTGAGTGGAATCGTGCTTCAATTTCCTGCTGGTCTATACCTGCTGAACATGGCTGAGCCATGTCGCCACACGCTTCAGCTGTGTTTTGTTTGTTACTGCTTTTTGTTTTTGACTGTGCCGGGCTGTCATTGCGGCCCAAAGTCTTCCCTGTTGGGGCGCTCGGGTTTAGTTGCCCCGAGGCGTGTGGAATCTGAGTTCCATATCGGGGGACTGAACCCACGTCCCCTGAGTCGCACCCACTGGCCCCCCAGGGAAGCCCTCCAGGTGGCCTTCAAACAGCAGCTTCTCGGCCGAGGTTGACTCAGGAAGGCCTGGGGGTGAACGCGGTGGTGACTCCGCCGCATCCTCCGTGTGGTGATGGTGGAACTGGAAAGGGGGGTGTGGTCTTGCCAGTTCTCATCACTTCCCCACAGGGAACAAGTGCGGCCATCCGGAAAACTCCCAGGTAATGTGACACGATCCTCACTTTCTCTTTCTTGTCATTATGCAAAACAGATTTTTTTTTAAAAAGGCAAGTGTATCTTATTCTTGTAACTTTAACCCTGAGTTTAAATATGGAATTTCTTTTTTGTCTTTGCTGTCTCTCTTTGGTTCATACTGAGTACAAAATGTAAAGCGACTCATCAAAAGGAAATAATTCGACTTCATTCTTTCCGCTTAAATAAGAGCCTCTCCCTTCTTCACATTCTTGTGCAACCATCCCCACCATCATCCCCAGAACTTTCTCCTCTTCCCAAACTGAAACTCTGTCCCCATGAAACACTAACTCCCCATCCACTCCGCCAAACCTCTGGCACCCACCTCCCTCCTTTCAGTCTCTTTGAACTTAATTATTCAAGGGCCCTCATATAAGTGGAATCACACTGCATTTATCTTTCTGTGACTGATTTAGTTCACTTTGCCTAGTATCTTTAAGATTCATCCATATTGTAGCCTATATCAGAATTTCCTTCCTTTCTAAGGATGAACCATATTCTACTGTATGTATTACCCCATTTTGTCTATCCATTCACCTGTCAATGGATATTTTGGTTGTTTCTCATTATAGAGAATTTTGAAAAATACTGAGACAAAGAAAAAAGTAAAGTTCTATGGTAAACCCATTGCCAAGAAGCCATCATTGTTCACACTTTCTTTTAATGATGAACACGGACATTTATGGCTAACTCTTCCCAGTTGTAAGGGGCGGTATCTCCATGTGTGTCACTCTGTCTGAATTTCTGCTCATGTTTCTTAGAAAGGGAATTACTTGGCCAAAGGGTGTAAACATTTTTAAAGCACTTGATGGATAATGCCAAAATGCCTTCCAGAAATAACTCTAATTTTAACACGAGGAAACAGGGGAGCAGAAAGGCTTCTTTTGTGACTCTATGGCTGTCTTTCCAGTGAAAAAATATTCGGATTAAAAACTGAGTTTATACATTCAACTGAGCAATTTCACATGTGCCTACTCTTGGTATCAAACAAATAAAATATCTGGCTACGTGACTGATTTCTTTCCCCTCATCACTGCATCTGCTTGGGATGTGGGATCAGAATCTGGAAAGGGCTCAGGGGTTTTTGCGGACTTACATGAGGTGGTGACAGCCAGGGGGAGGATGTGAGCTCTGGGATATCACAGGATCTGGGACTAACCTGCCTTCCCGCAGCCCTGAGAATAAAGCGAAGATGGAGCATCTCCCAGTCGAATGACTGGTCTGAGGTCCATGCTGTGTCGGGGGGAGCCTGGGCACTCAGCCCCACCCTCGAGAACTCTCCACGTGATGTTGCAAGCAAGCCCAGCAACAGTCCTTGTCCTGATGAATCTTTGTCCACAGTGGACAACCACCGGCCGATACTGGTCTGCCCAGACGTGCTGGCTTCTTTTCAGAGTCACCGTGGTTTTGTTGACAGGGCAATGGAGCACTGAAAGTGCAGCCATAGTGTCCGTTACCTCGGTGACCCTGGGGAAGCTGCTGGCTTCCTTGAGCTTGGGTTTCTCTGCTGGTTTCCTTACTGAGCATCCTTTCAGACCGCTGTATTAAAAGGACTTGGAAACCAGACAAGCTCTAAGAATAAACATATATGTTTGGTGTTCATATCAGTCAGGGGGTAACTGTTCAGTCCTGCAAAGACGGCAGTGCTTATTAACTTTGAGAGTAGCTATTCCTCATAGATTTTATTAGCATCATAACAGTATCATTTTAAAAGGAATATGGAGATCCTGATGCTGGGAGAGATTGAAGGCAGAAGGAAAAGAGGGCAACAGGGGGTGAGATGGCTGGATGGCATCACTGATCCAAGGGACACGAACTTGAGCAAACTCAGGGAGGTAGTGGGGGACAGGGAGGCCTGGTATGCTGCAGTCCACGGAGTCACAAAGAGTTGGGTTCGACTTGGTGACTGAACAGCAACAACAAAGAGCCAAAAAATAAAATAAAAGGAACACAGCCTTTCTTACTCGTATTACTGCATTATGCGTCTCATGGAATCTCATTTTACATTGACACAGGTCTGTTATTTATCTCCTTTCATCCCTGTGGTGAGAGCCTGAAGGGCTGCTGCCACGTCCAAGACAGAGGAACGGGCTGTCCCACGAGCTCTGGTGTCATCCCAGGTCGCAGAGAAGAGGGACTGACGTGCTGGACTCTTGCATTCAAGGGCTGTGTGTCCGCCCCAACCCCGGAGGCTGAGCGTCCTCGGATGGGACGGTTCTGTGGGCACTTCTTTCTTTACCTCGTGTGAACCTGGACCAGTGACGGCCAGTGGAGGACCAGGCACGCTGCGGCTCAAGGAAGAGGAAGGTGCCCTCCAGGGCGAGCCTCTGAGCTTCTCCGACGTCACCTCTTTGGGCAGCTTTGCTCTTGTCACCACGTCGCATGGCCCGCTGCGTGGGAAGGAACGTGAGGACAGGGACGGGGTCTGGGCCCATCCTGCCATGGCCCCGGCCCTCCGGTGAAAGCCACTTCTCACTGCAGTGCTCTAAATAATACGCTTCTTCCCCGTTGTTAATTTTGAAGGCAAGATGCTTATTATTTATTAGTCATTCCGAGACAGTCTATTTAGAGCCATTATTGCCTATTTTGCAAACACACTTTAGTGATATGTACATATTGTGGTGTTTGACCCTGTCAATAAGAGTTTATTCTTATCCCCGAATGCTCACTCTGCCATATAAAAAAAGCAGCATTAATATCTGACATTTTCCCTCACTGTGGTTAGCACTAACTAGCAATCTGAGTTAACCGTCTTCAGACTGTCCCCGTGGAAAGAAAAGGGCTTCTTATGCTATTTGGGAGCGGAAAAGAGGAGCCAGTTGTGGGGAGGGACGGGGTGGGGGGTGAAGAAGGTGAATGGTTAAAGCTTTGGTGCCTTTTCCATTTTCAAATGTGTGGCGCCCTCCCTGGATATCCTTGCTGGGTTTTGGGGTGGGGCCACCAAACTTTGGTTCTGACTCTCTGCAAACCTGGACCTCTGCCCAAACTTGGTTTCAGCGTGAGAGGTCCAGACGGTGCTCTGTGGACTGTGACTGTGGAAAACCATGTGCTGAGACGAGCAGGTCCAGAGTCTGCTAAATACCAGCAATTGTGCTGCCGAGAACAGCCCTGTGCTCTGTGGGGCTGGCGATGCGAGGCGAGGAAATTATAGGCTGCCCAGCCACCAGGCCTTCGGGAAAGATTACGGGGTGACTTACTGATCTCTAGGCGGGTCAGGGGTTTTGAGGGAAGGTTAGATTTCAAAGCATGTAGTTAGAGGGAAAAGACTAGGTTGGAAATCTAGGGTTCAAGAGATGGGGCCTAGAAGCTCAGAGAGATACAGGCAGAGTGGAGACGTCCAGGCGCAGAGAGATGCGGGCCGTAGTCCGGGGTGTGGTGCCACCAGTGGGGTGGCCCTCGGTCCAGCCTGGGCAGCCCCTCCAGCTCACAGAGCATAAAACTGCAGCTTGGCGGGTGACCGCCCACATTTCCCCAGCTGACTGCTCTAAAGCCCACTTGTTTTGGTGTCCAGGTCAGGACACCTTGT